CTCTTAAGGATTGCGAAGGAGAAATCACATTCATTTTATCAAGAAAGGATACGAGTACACTAATTGGACCAAGAAAGGATACAAGTACAGCAAGCGGTAAAGTACCGCGCAAAACAAGAAATCAAAGAATATAGTCCGAGGACATCATGTAGCAAAAGGAAAACAAGGAGTCCGTGAGCTCGATTAGGCGTCCGTCATTTGCACGTCCGTCTCCGCCCGCCATAAACGACAACCTCCGGATTCGGTCCCCCAGCATGCGGCGTAGTGGAAGCCGCGTCCGTCTCCGCGCCATTTTGGGTGGCGGCCCCCGGACCCGGTTCGCCAGCGGGCGGCGTAACCAGGGGCGCGACTTCCGCACCACTCTGAACGGTGACCTCGGCACCCGGTGCCGCAGGTCGCGGCGTAGCAGAGTGCGCGCGTTCTTCTTCCACGACGATATCGCCCGGCGAAGTCTGGCGGCTCGAGGACCTTCGCGACGTCCAGGCGGCTCAGCGCCAAAGAAACTTGTCCCTCGGAGTACGCGCTCCGGCGTAGTTGTTGTCGACGGTGAACGACTAGGAGAAAGAAGAAAGAAGTTAGTGAAGATAAACGGAACGGAAGAAGGAAATCAAGAAACTAACGGAACTCACGACGACGGGGGAAAAACGGCGGGGCTACCGAGGGTGTATCGAGAGCCAGAGGAGGTCTGGCCGACGGATTCTTCACCTGGAACGTCGGGCGCGGGGCACCATGTCCGAAAGTTGACACTACGACGGTGTGGTCGTAGGGGGTGACTTCGGTGTTGCTGGGCTCGCCCTTGAAGTCGGGGTATTGCCACATGATGTGCGACTTTTGCGACTTGAAGGATCAGTCAAGAAAACGGAGAAAGAAGACGACGGAATACGCTTACGGAGATATATGGGGCGCGAAGGCCCACGGTGTCTGGGAGACGACCTCCCCACCACGCGAAGAGCTTGAAGGGATCCCAGTTGTCAGGGATACTCTCGTCCGGTTTGAGGAAATGCTCCTCAGCTCCGTCCATGGCTTTTTGGAGCCAAGGGAGCATGCCGATGAGCTCGCGGTTGGTCGCGTTCGCGTTTTGGTTCCAATACGACTCGAGAGGGAGCCGTGGGTTGAGGAAGGGGAAGACGGGGCTCTGATGGCCCACCGGGAATCCCGCCATGATACGCGGACGGGGACGACATTCCCGCTCGTCGCCGCCAATAGGGCCGTCACGGCTTCGGGTCCTGCCAACTCCACTGCGGCCTCTTGCTTCTTACACGCTTCGTATTGGATGAAGAAGAGGCGCGAGTAAAGGCGATCAAGCGCCTCCTCCGCCGGGTAATCCTCACGATCGCGCGCCGTGGGTTTGAACGCCCTCAAGATGGATTGGGGCGGGACAAGAACGCGCCCTTCGCGAACTTGTGCGTCCCGCCAGTTGAAGCGCGGCGCTGGCGTGAACTCGGGGACGGAGTACCCGAACTCGGGCAGATCCAGGTGTGGCGATGGCGCGCTGTTGCGCGAAGAGGCAGAGCAGACGCGAAGGGGAGCGGCGAGACGAGACGACGGCGGCGGAGAAGCAGACTCCATGCGATTTTCATGGAGCGTGGCGATGGGCGGAGTATCCACCTGCGCGCCGCTCATGTCGCGCGCCTTTCCTTTCCCTTTCCAATCGGGACCCCTATTCGACGGAGTTCCCTCGCGCTCGTCCTCGACATCGGAGTAGCCCTGCAGCTCGTCCTCCGACGAGCTGTCGCTGGGAAGGAAGAGCGGCGTGGAGGAACCACCCGCCGCGAAGTTATGCCGCGCCACAAAGCCCGCTAGAAGGAAAGAAGATTCAATGAGTATAGAAAGGGTAAACAAGACGAGAGAGGGGATACGGTAAAGGAGGAGGACGTACCAGTGGAGGGATGATACTTTGCCCCCTCAGTGGTGTGGCAACCGTGGCGCCGGATTGCGCAGTAAAAACAGGCAGTTTGGCGGGAGCTCCGCTTAACCCGGTTGACGCAAGGGACGTTGCTCTCAAAACAGAACTCGCACCCCTGGACGAAGTAAAAGGATTAGAAGAATAGCGGACAAGAAAGATTGGTCGACTTACGGGCCCGACCTCCAATTCCTCTTCTGATATTTTGTCGAGGGTTTCCTTCACCTGCCCATCGAACGCCGCCTCGTATTCCTCCGCCGAAAAATCGGGCGGAGAGCTAGTCCGCCGACGTTTCTTCGACTTTTCGCGCGACGCGCTCCGTTTCCTCTTCGTGGGGGAGCGCGCTGGCGAGATAGGAGCGGGAGCGGGAGAAGCGGGAACGGCGGGAGCCGCGGGCACGGGTGTCGAGGAACCAATCGACGGAGATGAAGGGAGAGGAGAGTGCTCCACGTGGCTGAACAGCTCGACGTCGTCAAGGCGTACCCGTCGGGAGGGTTGCGCGCGTGGAGGATCTCCAGGATCAAGTCGATGTCGATCCCCAAGGACTCGTGGTCTCCCATGGCCCGACGTTGACGGTCGACGTGGTACATCTCATCGGCGAGGCCGAGGAGATGAGAACGGGCGGCGATGGCACGGGAGAAGGAGTCCTGCGCGAGTGTGAGCTCCGCCTCGAGGTCGTCCCTCTCGCGGCAGAGCTCATCGTGCCGATCTTCCAAGACGTTCCGCTCATTTAAATTCGCGGCCTCCGTCTGCAGCTCCGCCTCGCGAATCCTGTTGTGCGTATCACGCTCAGCAGCCTTCGCGGCGAGCCACTCGTCTTTCTGGCGACGGGCGATGGAAACCTCCCGATTTGCGCGTCTTGCCGCTTCAAACTGATTTGCGGCGACAAGACCAACATGGGCCGTGTACCCTTCCTTCCACTCGTGGAACGCCTGGTCGAGGAGGAAGGGGGTAGCACCTTCGGGAGCCTTGTAGGGGGGATACGGGGCGGGGTCGACGATGGGAGGAAGGGTTGCGAGCTCGGAGAAATCGGGCGGCGGCATACCCGACGGAGGCCATTCGAACGGAGGACGAACGAAGACGGGAATCGGTCTCCAGCTGGGATCGGAGATCTCCTCCAGACGCGGGACCACGTACGCTAACTTCCCCTCGACGTTGCGGAGCTGTTTCTCCAGCCCATCCACCGAATGCTCCATAGGGGCGGGAGCCTCGCCCTGGAATACCATCCTGCGACGGAGCAGTTGCTCGCGCAATGACGGCGGCGGCGGAGGAGACGACGATGGCGGAAGAACGGACGACGACGGGACGGGCGCATCTTCAGCCATTGGCGAGGGAGGACGCGCAACTCCGCTCGCGGGACGCGACGGTCCAGCTACAGGCTTGCGGGAAGATGTACTCCCCGGAAGCCTGATCTTGAAGCTGGTTCCGGTATCTGGCGGAGGGAGACGCGGAGTCAAGACCTCTGAGCGCGGAGGATGACGTGAAGTCAACTCCTCTGTATTTCGGGGCCGACGTGAAGTCAGGCCCGTCGCGCTCTTGGAACGACGTGGAGTCTGTTCCGCTAACTCGTCGACCTCCTCGGAGGAGGACTCATCTCCTCTTTCCCGTATTTTCTGGAGGCGCGCGCGCCGCTCGCCTTGGATTTTCTTTCCGCGACCCCCTCGAGGAACGACGGCGGGGGTGGCTTCACGATCGGAGATAGGCCGCAGAGCCTGCGCAGTAGAAACTGCGGGCTGTGGGCGTTGGGTTTGGGCGCGGTTCTTGCGGCTGGTGGACATGGGCGACGGTGGCGAAAGCGGAGGAGACTGGAAACTTTTGCCAATTAGAAGCGCATCACGGGCCAAACAGCACCATACAACCGATCAAAATACGTCAAGGAACTGCGCATCATTCTTCTAGCGAAACGCGGAGGAATTCCCTAAATATAGCTTCAATTCACTCGCAAAACCTTAATCTGAAAGAACCTGCAAGCACAACGGAGAAGGAGTAGAGTGCAGAGGAGTGTAAAGGAGTGAACTCGACGCAGGAGAAATTTGGGAGTTTTACGCCCGGCCGTAACCAAGATATTCGCTGGCGGAGACGAACTCCGCTTAATATGACCGGGCATCAGAAATCAGGAAAATATTCAAGGAGCAAGAAAACGACGCGTTTACGCGTTTAAAATTCACAACAAATGGATTACACTAAAGAAGAACCCGACGGAAACGACTCCGCCGGGTTATCAGGCAGTTTTGGTACCGCGGAGGAACCAAAATTGCAATTTATATATGGACAACGGAACACCAAACGCGCACGCTTAAGCCAACGGAACATACGGAATTCAGGATATATGCGAATGTAATCTCCGGAGAAAAAGTCGCTGAGCGACGAAGTGGGGCCCTACAAAAACCAAAGAAATACCCCGAAAAGGAATTGATCACTCCTGGGCGACAACGGAATAACAAAAAATGGACAGCTACAAGGAACGAATTTCAAGAAAACGACATGAACGCATAGACACGAACTTACGAGAAACGGCTTTCGCGGACTTGAAAATCGGATAAAAGTTACGCGGGAGGAAACCCCAACCTGGTGAACAATTCGTTGTATTCGGCGGATACGTCGTCCAAGGGGCGGCTTCCAGGAGAAAACGGACCTGGCAGGGAGTCAGCTCCTAAAAGTAAGAAGGAACGGACCGAGCACGGAAACCGAGCGAAACGTGGAAAGAGCAGGGGGGAAGAGCCGGGAGGGACGGAAAACCCACGGACCGGGGAACGGGAGAAGAATATCAGAAATCCAGGAAAAAGTAAAAGGGGACTCGGAGCGGTGCCGCACCGAAATAGCAAACATTCAAAGAAAATTAAGAGCCGCCCGAAATAGACAAAACAATTTCCCAAGAGGACGCAAAATTAAGATGCCGCCCGGAAATAGAGAGCCCAAGCAGGAGTTGAACCTGCGACCTTCGCATTAATTCATCCACGCAGACTAGGAATGCGCGATGCAATAACCGTTATGCTATTGGGCCGACAACCTTGGAAAGGAAGGCGGAGCGGACACCGCGAAATGGAAAACAAAACGGAGCGCATAGGACATCAAAAATTACGGCCGTCCTGGAGTAAAGCCCAAGCAGGAGTTGAACCTGCGACCTTCGCATAAATCCATCCCAGAGCTGGATGCGCAGCATAACCGTTATGCTATTGGGCCGACGACCATTTAAAAATTATGATCGCCATGCAACAAAAGCCCAAGCAGGAGTCGAACCTGCGACTTTCGCGTTATTCATCCTAACTCAGATAAGGATGCGCGGAGCAATAACCGCTATGCCATTGGGCCGATAACCCAGTCATTGGATCCCAAAAATGGGAGCATGAGCAGAACGGACGACGCGACGGAGACGGAGACTCGATTCCCATAAAGTAAAAAGGACATGCAACTCACCGGTAATCGCCATGGGAAGAGTCAACACCCTCAAATTGCCATGAAGGAGCGTAACTGGAGGGCCAAACAGGCTGTTTAGGGAAAGCGGAGATGTGAGGAGGTCCGGATAAATCAAGCGACCATCGACATCGTATCCTGCGAATTCCCCTTCACAGCGAGTATAAGCTATGGTCTGCCCGGCTGCTTTGAGGAGCGGAATGAGTATCTTGGGGTTCAGGCTGTGGGGGAGATCGTATCTGGAGGTGTATTTTGTGAACCAGAAAGGTAAGCGAGGAGCTGGAACATTTGGAAGGATTCACCAGGGATGGTCAGGTTGACCAGGGCCCACGAAATATCGCCAGCCTGCGCCAACTCATGACAAACAGCTAAACTCCGGGTAACGAGACGCTGCGGAAAACAATTGGGATCGGACTGGGCGGAGTACCTCCAAACAAGACTACGCACCAAATGCCACATTACGACTTGGATCCAATCGCAGATCTTGTTATGCTCAGCAATAGGTAGCGACAGAATTCCAGCCTTCACAGAGAAGTCGTCGGTGGTGGCGCGCATAATTTCGTGCACCATTAGGCGAATACGGAACTGAAGAAAGCTCGGAAGACCTTCTCCAAAAAGGTGGAAAGGAGCGGTCAGGAATTGCTTGTCTAAGCATAGACTGAACAAGAGCGGCGCGGCGTCGTAAATGGTGAATCGCCAAGTGGAAGACATGCAGAATTCGGCCTGGGAGGACACAAAACAGGCAACTTCGCTAGGCTCCTTTTATAGGGAAACAGCCCCCTTGGACAAGCAACCTGGAAGGAGCAACGAATTATCACATAAAAATTTCCCATCTACATGGATCTACAACAGCATGTCTAGGAACAGACGAGGATCACCCGCGGACACAATTCTTGATTCCCGACGGAGTCAGGCGGAAGAAGATTCTCTCCAATTAAGGAGCGGAGTCGGAGTTCGGCGTATTGGGACGAGTAGGAATAATCCGCTGCGACTCTGGACATTTAGGGAATTGGTACGCCTCCTTTCTGAGGGAGGGATCATAGCGAAGGAGCCCCTGGCCGAATTGGTGGCGGAGTCGACCTAGAGCCTTGGCTTCAGAAACCTGGTCCGGCTTCGTGTGGTGACCTATCCCATACACAAAAGGGTCGGCGGAGTTGTGTATGAAACCTGGCACATCCCACGGCCAAGTGGCGTACTCCGCATCAATCGCCATGCAATATTGGAGATGGGCAATAGCACCGAACATGTTCTCTTGGAGAGCGCGATCTTCATCTCCGTCGAAACCGACGAGCGCCACAAAACTCTCCGCCATGGCAAAAGTCACGGTGCAGAAGTGCGGGATATGGTATTGCGCGGGCAGCGCAGGATCCAGGGACTTCGCTACCTTTACGGAGCCAAGAAGTAGCTCAAAAAGGAATAGGATCAGCAAAAGGCTTCGCTAAAGAAACGCCAGCACGGTTCACCATATTGGAAAGCATGACTTTTACACCGACATGAGCTTGCTGGATGATCACCAGCAGAATGGAACTTATATTCCGATCCTGGAAGGTTTCGTGAAGAGCCTGGCCTAGGCACCGCACATGGGTGATCCACAGCGACTCAAGGTACTTCGGCATGCGCGTGTCGGAAACGGCGGGCAATATAGAATGGACCTCCACCAATAGGCTTGGGAGTACAGAGGGGTTCTCCATGACGAACTCCGCTGTGCCATTGAAATACAGGAAAGACGGGATGGACTGAAGATATTTCTGGGACCAATTCTTAGCGATTCACTCGCTTTTATAGCTGGCAGACCAAGCATAACTCCATTGGTCAAAAACAGAACAGAGGTTTACGAAGCGGAGCTAGAGGACAAGAAGGGACTGGGCATCTACGAGAACGACTCTAGAAACCACTCCACTCCAGCGACATCAGTTAGCAAGGTCGACAAATCCTTCCCCGCGCGATCCGCGTCCTGGACCCGTTCCCTCATCCAATACCGCTCTGCTACCCAAGGGTCGACGATTTCCTGGGCCTCGAGTAGGAGAATTTGGTCTACCGTCCAGGAAGGAACGCATGGAACGTGGCCCATGAAGGAGGAATAAGGAATGTCGATAGGATCGGAGGAGCTGGAGCGATCGCCACGAGCTACCTTGAGCATCCGATCGACGAGGGCGAGTCTCCCTTCGTCTTGACGGGCGTAGGGCCCGTACGCAGGTTCCCTAGGAGGTTATGAAACTTCTGCATAAGGCTAAGGGTGTGGATAGCCTCGGCGGGAATGACTAGAGGGATGTGCTCCAAAGCAGAGTAAACGGTGCCGATCATATAGGCCTGGCACTACAATGAAGAATTAGGGCACGAGTCCGGACAAGCGACGGGAGCGCACCAAGTATGAAAGGAAGTTTCCAACGTGCGGGGTCAAGAATTCTTTCGCTTCAGACGAAACGTCCGAGGCGGAACTGGCGCAGCTGGGAAACACCTTGTTTAGGAGTCGACCGTACGGACCTACAACCTCGACAAAGAAATCATAAACACCACGGGCGTGGTCGGTGTACAGATCATTGTCGGCCTTCCTAGAAAGGTACGGAGGAAGGAGGAGTCGCAAAGACAGAGGGATAGAAGAAAGCTCTTTGACGGTCCGAGGAGGGAGAAACGAACGGGTGGCGGAGGCCAACTCTAGGACGCTCATTGACGGATAAGGGGAACGGGAAGAAGAAACGGCTCATTTTAAACAAGACATAACGCCGAAGTACCGGGAAGAAGGAGCAGGAGAAGGGACTACAGGCGACCAGGAGGGGAATTCGTTTCATCAGGAACCCGGCAAATTAAGAAGCGGATCTCCGCAAAATATTGCGTCTACAGAACAACTCTACAACGGAGGTATTCTAATCACAAGGGAACGGAACTCCTACGAGACAGGCGAATCGCCTCTGCCGAGAATAGCGCGTTCCTGGAAGAGTCGGAACTGGGGCTATCAAGGAAAGACATGCGATACTCTAGTGCGGGGCCCGTTTCCGCCAGAATATTAGCGTCCTCCATCCGGGCGGACATGGCCATTGCCGTACATTTGCATGGGTAAAAACGACGTCGAGTCTCTGGCCGTAATCGTCAAGACGGACTCCGTTTCGTCACCGTCGAAACCGAAGCGACGGATTAGCCACATCATGTAGATGAGACTGTTAACGGAGGGCGTGGCTACGCGCTTTCCTGGAGCAACGGAGTTGGACCGATCAATAACGTCGAAAACATGACTCTAAAGGGAGCAAGAAGACTTAGCGGGACCAACAGGAGTGGGCGGAGAAGAAGGACGTACGATGAGGGACATGTAGGAGCCGAGCTGCTGGCGAATCCACGGAGAATCGCAAGGAGCAGGTTCAGTAGCTCGGAATTGATTCCGCACAAGCATGGCGATGTCGCGGAGAGGATGAAGGACCCTCTGGCTGTAACGCGCCACGGAAGGACGGCGGAGATATTCGACAAGCTGGGCCTCGCTATCAAGGTCGATCCATATAAACTCGAACTCGGGACGGGACGAGTACGAGGGGCTGTTGGGCTGAGGAATATCCTTCAGGAGAGCGAAGCGAAGAGCCATTGAGGGACTAGCGACGAACAGGGGGCGAAGAAGCTACGGAACTGCTATAAACGCGCCAAATTTATACGAACGCCGGCAAACAACCAGGCTTAGACTAGCCGCCCGGGCAAGATCAAGCACCCGCGCTCATTGTATTTGGCGAACTCCTTCGGGCCCCGGAAAGTGCTAAAGGTCAGGAGGGAAACTTCGCGGAGTACGCGCAACGTCCTCTGGTGCGCCCTCTTCATCGTCGGAGGACAAAAGTCTCCGTAACCGAATTCATCGACCAAAACGCCAAGGATGCGTGCCATATTGAGCGCTTCGCTGGGGAAGAGGAGGTCGGGAGTATTCACGTTAGAGAAAGGTGTTCCTAGGGTCTCGGTTTCGCGGAGCACCCATCCTACGAGGAAGTCCTTAACGAAACGATCAGAAAAGCTGCGGAGGAGCGGGAGAAAACCGAGCGGACCAGCTGAAGCAGGACTTCCCCAAGCGCCTCCTGAACGAATCTCCTATCCTCCATGGTGTTCGTATTAAAGGGGGCGGTCAAGGAGAACGTGGGGTCGATAGCGTTCTGGATGAAGAATACGGCGGGTCTGGTCCGAGTCTCCAGGAACGTCGAGAAGGATACTCCGGGGGACCACTGCTTGCCAAGTGCTTTCTCCGCTGCGGAAAACACGAGCGGCGATAGTAACGAGCGCAGCTGGGCAGCTGGCGAAAGATACGCTAGGAGAACGACGCCAGGATCCATAATGGGAGTACGAAACAACGGCAAATTTCGTAGGAGGATAACAAAAACCTATCGGACTACGGATCATAAGCGAGCTGGGACGACGGAGTTCCTAACGACCGATCTCCCAACACCATCAGACAAATTCCTCGATCACTCCGCTGGCTACCATCCAATCGCTTCTGGCTTGCGCATGAGCTGCCCCGTGGACAGGTACTCGGGAAATTCTCCCCACGTCCCCAAGAGCGCGGCCCAGCAGGCGGACACCCGTTTCAGATGATACAAAGACGAGTCAAGATCGAAACTAGTGAGGCGATCGTCGTAATATCCATAAAGGATGATCATCTGCTCGAAAATTTCGAAAAGCCTTTTCGAGCGGTCGGAAACGGGAGGCTCGGGAAGGTTCTTGCAGGGGCAGGCTTCGCGATCCCAGATTTCGACATAGGACGGATATTTGGGCTGCTGCAGAGAAATCAGGTGCTGAAACAGCGG